TCTGGGTGCAGAGAGTCTACAAACTCGCACGCAGAGGTGTGTGAAGTATCTCTATGTACTCCACCACACTGGATGACAGTTTAGGGATTGACCGTCGCCATGATGAGGACGGCCAGACAGTTCTGTAGGGGGATGAGGAGGATCCATAGAAATCATAGACTGGATCACTAGCATTGGTCTGATCATAGAAAGTCATCTCACAGAGAAGAGCCTCTGAGCCAGACGTGTAGATAGAAAGCCTTCCCTGTCTGGGCCAGAACCCACCCTGAGGGATCTCATCTATGGGGGGCGGCTACAGGACAGAATACCGGTTCTCTTCAGACAACATTCACAGATTGGAATTTGTCTTCTCCAACGTTGGTTTCCTGGTGTTCTGAGTGTCCGAAATGTGTTCACATCTATTGGGTGACATGAGCAGCTGATGACCTAATACCCAACCACCAGGTCTACCCCTACTCCAACTCTTTCCATAGACCATCCCCCCCCGCCGCCCGTAATACCGGGCGGCCACCATAATTAGCTTTCTTCTCGAGCTGTGATCTAAAGCTGACAACATATTAAAGACTTCTCTAATCCATCACAGCAATCCGGCCGTCTTCTCTGGAGTTTTACCGATAGGGAGAAGTTGAAGCTCGCCCTAATTATGAATATCTGTCTGTGACCCAACAGACACCTCCAGACCCAACAGACACCTCCAGACCCAACAAACACCTCCAGACCCAACTAACCCTACTGGTTTGATCTGTGCATGGCTGGTGAGGTCTGAAGAGGCCCTCAGGCACCCGATGCTGCTGAAATATGGATGTTCCTACTTCTAGAACTGGAAAAGGAAATGATTATATGTCAGCACAGTGGACAATCTCTTTCACTGACTCCACACCAAGATTTAAAGTAGAACCCCGGATAAAACTCTTCTTTACATGTGGAAGGGCAGGGAAAGGTTAGAACCTTCGTCATGGGTCTGTGTACATTTGGGTGGCTTCCATTCTGGTTGTCACCAGGAGAGGAAGTGAGGAAAGCAATCAAAGGCCCAGTGCCCCTTGCAGTAATATTTCCAGTAGGACATCTGTCCTGGCTCAGAAGAGGAGGAGAAATATTGGACAATGTTGTCAGGTTTATGGCTCTGAGCACTAGGAGGCTCCATTGCTGTTTGTTGGCCTCACTGATATATTCATAAAAGATGCCACAGGACCTTCAGTGTGGGGTTGGCAGTGGGGCTCCCAGACTGGGCTGCAGGGGGCCATAGGGCTCCCTGACTGGGCTGCCGCTGTACTGACCCTTCATTGCCGGCCATGGGGCTCCCTGACTGGGCTACTGCTGTACTGCCCCTTCATTGCCGGCCATGGGGCTCCCTGACTGGGCTGCTGCTTTACTGACACTTTATTACCGGCCATGGGGCTCCCTGACTGGGCTGCTGCTGTACTAACCCTTCATTGCCGGCCATGGGGCTCCCTGACTGGGCTGCCGCTGTACTGCCCCTTCATTGCCGGCCATGGGGCTCCCTGACTGGGCTGCTGCTGTACTGCCACTTTATTACCGGCCATGGGGCTCCCTGACTGGGCTGCTGCTGTACTAACCCTTCATTGCCGGCCATGGGGCTCCCTGACTGGGCTGCCGCTGTACTGCCCCTTCATTGCCGGCCATGGGGCTCCCAGACTGGGCTGCTGTACTGACACTTCATTGCTGGCCATGGGGCTCCCTGACTGGGCTGCTGCTATACTGACCTTTCATTGCCGGCCATGGGGCTCCCTGACTGGGCTGCTGTACTGACACATCATTGCCGGCCATGGGGCTCCCTGACTGGGCTGCTGTACTGACACATCATTGCCGGCCATGGGGCTCCCTGACTGGGCTGCCGCTGTACTGACACATCATTGCCGGCCATGGGGCTCCCTGACTGGGCTACCGCTGTACTGACACATCATTGCCGGCCATGGGGCTCCCTGACTGGGCTACCGCTGTACTGACACTTCATTGCCGGCCATGGGGCTACCAGACTGGGCTGCTGCTATACTGACACATCATTGCCGGCCATGGGGCTCCCAGACTGGGCTGCTGCTATACTGACACTGCATTGCCGGCCATGGGGCTCCCAGACTGGGCTGCTGTACTGACACTTTATTACCGGCCATGGGGCTCCCTGACTGGGCTGCTGCTGTACTAACCCTTCATTGCCGGCCATGGGGCTCCCTGACTGGGCTACCACTGTACTGACACATCATTGCCGGCCATGGGGCTCCCTGACTGGGCTGCAGTACTGACACTTCATTGCCGGCCATGGGGCTCCCTGACTGGGCTGCTGCTGTACTGACACATCATTGCCGGCCATCTAGCTCCCTGACTGGGCTGCTGCTGTACTGACACATAATTGCCGGCCATGGGGCTCCCTGAATGGGCTGCTGCTGTACTGACACTTTATTGCCGGCCATGGGGCTCCCAGACTGGGCTACCACTGTACTGACCCTTCATTGCCGGCCATGGGGCTCCCTGACTGGGCTGCTGCTGTACTGACACTTCATTACCGGCCATGGGACTCCCTGACTGGGCTGCTGCTGTACTGACACATCATTGCCGGCTATGGGGCTCCCTGACTGGGCTACCGCTGTACTGACACTCCATTGCCGGCCATGGGGCTCCCTCACTGGGCTACCGCTGTACTGACACTCCATTTCCGGCCATGGGGCTCCCTGACTGGGCTACCGCTGTACTGACACTTCATTGCCGGCCATGGGGCTCCCTGACTGGGCTGCTGATGTACTGACCCTTCATTATGACTGGGCTGCTGCTATACTGACCCTTCATTGCCGGCCATGGGGCTCCCTTACTGGGCTGCTGCTATACTGACCCTTCATTGCCGGCCATGGGGCTCCCTGACTGGGCTGCTGCTATACTGACCCTTCATTGCCGGCCATGGGGCTCCCTGAATGGGCTGCTGCTATACTGACCCTTCATTGCCGGCCATCGGGCTCCCTGACTGGGCTGCTG